TGTGCTTATCCCCCCCCTTTATTAATTTGCATAACTGTTATGTCCTATTTGGTTTCTATGAGAAAAGGAAAGAAAGAAACAAAGAAAGAAGGGATGGAAGTGTTTAACAGCTGTTTCAGTGAAATGGAAAAAGTTGTCAATTTCAAATCTTTTCATTAAAATAATGACCAGCATTCATATTTGTGATTGTTATTGCAATATTTTGTTAAAGTTGTTAAGCTCAAATATTTAATGATGTGATAGGGGAATTTCTATGGGTGTTTTATTGTTTCAGAACTCACCATCAGTTTACTCAATCATTAACTTAAGAATTAAGATTAATGAGAAAATTCAAATAGGAAAACTGTGAAATTTTCACAGGTTAAAACTAATTAAATATAAATCAGCCACAGTTATTTAGCTTGGTTCCCCAAATGAAAAAAACATTTGAACTACTTCAGGGTTAGGATTAGTTGCTCTTATAACGTACACAGTAATGGCCCTAGGGTTGCTGGCACCAAAGCCAAGATAAACTTTGGTACCCTTATGAGTTTGATTTTTAAAAATTTTTACAAGGAGAAAAACTGAAAATGTAGAATCATAAGTTTATTATAGTATACAACTTAATACAAGCTAAAGAAAACATTTATTATCCAATTTAAAACATTTCTTTTCTAGTCTTTAGATCTGCAAATCTTTTCATCCTTTCTACACCTATCTTCTTTACAAGATCATTTTCTATTGACAACATAGCCAAAGAATTTAATCTGTCTTGTGTCATAGATGACTGTAAGTATGTTTTTATAAGCTTTAGTTTTGGAAGATTCCAAACACATGACATGATAGTGCCCTTGACCTTGATGTCACCCTGGGTAACTGCCTGAGTTGACAGTACCTTGAGCTGGTCCTGGGTATAGACTTCAAGTGTGTTTTCATTAATTTCAATTTTGAAAACAACCTTTCACAAGTTGCAACTGAAAATGCAGTGGTAAGCAGTAATGTGTATGTAACAGACATTGTTAGAATTATATCCCTTCCAAACTGCATTAATGACTCAAGAGTGTCTTCAGGATCAGGGGGAAATGAAGCGACGAAGTTAATGATTACATCATATAACTGAATGGTTGCCACATAATTATTATAATAATTCATGTCCTATGGTTACAGAGAGCTCAGTTGAGTTCCGCCACAGAATATGTGAGCGAGCGGCGCTAACTGTCAGGGTTTCAATTCTCGGTAGTGGATTCGCACTGCTGCTGAGTCCCAAATATAGGACGAAACGGCTGTCCAGTGCTTCCTGCATTCTGTGGAGGTTTCTATCAGACTCGAGGAATTAATTAAATATATATATATATATATATGTGCACATATTATAATGAGCCAAAATTCTGGGAATGATCTGGAAAAAATTATTTACTCTCATATTTTGTTTCCATTCTGAAGTAGTCTCTTTGCATGCTATCTGAAAATGGTTTTTAATTCTCCAAACTTTCAGGCAGCACCTTGTATTTAACATCAAACTGACCCTGAAATATATATATATATAATAATGGACTCTCCTATCAGTTTTGACGGATGAGGATCTGACAGCTTATTGATTAACTTATGAAATTTTGTACGATAATCTTAAGTGGCATTTAAGACCTGCTAGTGATTTACAAAGGAGGACACATATGGAGCAAGTGTGAGGATTGTGAAATGAGATCACTGTTAGATTGGCTGACCTTTTAGATCTTGCTCTTACTTCTTGAAGATGATTCAGACAAGCAGATTGAAAATTGCTGAGTCCACTAAAACATGTTGATCTCCATTCTACCCGCTCCAAGGCTAAGTGCTCAAGGGTGTTATGTGGAATATTGACTGCTGACAAGTTGCTTTTCAGCTTGTCTTTGTATCTTAGCCATGAGTGTCCTACATTCCTGTATCCCTGATCTAACTGGCTGCACATTAGGATCTTGGGTATCCTGTCATCAGACATTCTCAATAACCAGTCCACCGTAACTGAGACTGTATGATAAAAGTCTCAATTCCTCCAATATTACACCTGTTAAACAGGTCTAGATGTCCTATCTTGAAGCTTAACTCCACAGATTGCATGCAGACAGCTTTTATGGAAAACATCTAGCTGGCGTATATGGTACCTGTATGGAGTCCACGCCTCTGAGCCATACAAAAGGATGGCAAGTACAACAGCTCTGTAAACCCAAATGTTCGTATCCAGTCGAATACCCCTCTCATTCCACAAGCGATGGCGAAGTTTGCCGAAAAGCACTGGTAGCCTTAGTATATATATATATATATATATATATATATATATATATATATATATATATATATATATTTAGGCAGCAAGTATTCATTCAAACAAGAACTGACAATGGCTGTTTAATATTTTTATTATATTTTTCCAATTTTTAAATAAGGTGTTACATATTGTGTCTGAAAGTTCATGTGTTATTATAACACAACATGAACTATAATAAAACATTAAACAGACAGGCTGTATTGATTCTTTTTTATCAAATTTATTTGATGTGTCTCTCTCTCTTTCTCTGTATATATGTATATATATATATATACAATATGTGGACTTGTATGCAGGTTACTAACAGGACTGAGATGTCACTGACTGAGGTTGTCGGACCCTCATGTCAAAATCTCTGGGAGAGTCCAATATCATATGTATATATATATATATATATATATATATATATATATATAATGACCTGAAAATTGTGTTTGAGCATGAAACAGTCTGTCGCCATTCAGTGTTGAACTCTATCAAAACTGCATAGTTATTGTCAGTTTCAAACACTAAGTGATCTTCAGACCCTATATATATATATATAGATAGATAGATAGAGAGAGAGAGAGAGAGAGAGAGAGAGGCAGATAAACATTGAGAGAGAAAGGCAGATAAACATTGAGACAGAGACATATAAAATAAATACTGCCTTATGAAAATAATTGCTGACTGGTTGAAATAGATCTCTTCAACCAAATTCAATGAAAATCTTTTGATCAAATTTACAGTAGGTGCTTAACTACCCCCCAAGTGAAATAAATTTCATATAAATGAACACACACTGATGGAAATTTGTTCTGTGTAAATGAAAATGTCATTTCATATGGGCAGTATAATCTTGAAACCAATAGGAGTGGCCAGGCAAAATACCAATGCTTATAGCAGGAATTCTAAATGTATTCAGTAAAATGAACAGGAAGAGTAATGCCACAGAGTTGATCATGATAATGAGATTTATTCAGTAACCATTGTTGTGTTGGTTCTGAAATAATATTCTAACCATTATTATCACTTTTGATCCTATTACTCTATCAATATATTTTCATATTATATATATATATATATATATATATATATATATGTAAAATCTATTGTTATATCATCTCCATTTATGTGATCTCCAAATTTATCATAGGTGACTGACAAAAAATGCCATCTAGAAATTTGCAAACCTCAGAACATAAACAAAAAAAAGAAACATTATCTTCAAAGTCAGATGGAGCCATGATTTGAAATAGAAGGGAGATAACTTGATTTTTTATGCTCGTCTGATTGATTCAACTTGTTTATATTTGATTATATATTTATCAAAATCTCTAAAAAAATCCACTTTGGCATAGACATGTGATACAGAGCAGAATAAGGAATAAATATAGTTTTTGAAAAAAGTATAAAAAATAAGAATAGTGTTAATTAAAACATAACTTTATTGCTTTTACAAAAAATGATCTCTGCTTTGATTTTCTCAAACAGCGATTATTAAATAAGTTTATATAAAATAGAAAATTCATTATATTTTTTTCTGCTAGTTCTTTTGTTTTCTTGTATTTCTTGCCACTTTCAGTAATGCTGAATTCTATTAAGGAAAATAAAATATGGCTTAAATTGCTGTTCAGAAAAACATGTATCTGTGTTTTATAGATCACGCAAAGGCGTTCAACAAGGTACATCACAAAGATCTGTTAGAGCTGCTCAGCAACCTTGACATATTCAGGAAAGACATCAGAATAATCAAGAATCTCTTCTCATAGAAAACTGCCTGCATATGGATAAAAAAATGAGTTCAGCAGATATAAAATAGAAAGAGTATAAAGCAAAGAAGTGTTTTCTCACTGGACTTATTCAACCTATATAGCAAGGCGATTCTGAGAGAACTGGAAATCCTATCAGGATTCATCATTGGTGTCCACAATCTTAACAACAAAATATGCAGATGACACAGACAGCAGATACGGAAAGGAAACAACAAAACCTACTACAGTAGGTAGTGATGGAGAGTGAGAAGAAGGGACTAAGCATGATCTACAAGAAGACAGAACATCTCAAAAACTTATATCCCTCCCTGTCAGTATTGTACAGTTCATACTCCTCCATGGTCTTTTGAACAGAAGTAGAGGTTTATCCCTGGTTTCCTGTTTCAAACTGAGTTTCCAGTTCCTTCTAAAGTCTACTTCAGCTCTAACACGTTTACTTCTCACAACTCTGCATAAAATTGGAAATTTTATTTGCTATATAATTTTATTTTATTTTTCTCAATTAGACTAAATATGTTCATCTATCATCCAGTTCACACTCTTCCCCGTTCTTTTGAACAGGCGTAGAGGTTTATCATTTGTTTCTTGTTTAGGAATGAGTTTCCATTTCCTACTAAATTCTTCTCTTTCACTCCTAGAAACGCCTTGCGTTTTAGTGTCATTATCGCCCTGCTTGGTGTGAATTGACTAAACAAAAAAGAAAGGAAAGGGAAAGGAAGTAACATCACCAGTTTAAGGATTCTAAGGCTATGGTAAAAGTTAAATTATTTGAAACATGAATGCTACCATTTCAATAACGGGTGTTTTTGACTGTGTAAATTATATCATATATGAAATCATTTTTATACTGAGACCTGGATTTTTTTTATAATTTATTTCATACTTTCAGTCTGGATTCCTGGAATGTGAAATTATCATTATTTACATTATATATTTGGACTAATATGCTGATCTTCAATGGTTTGCAGCCAGATCACATTGAAACATTGGTTCCCATACAATCACCAAAGTTAAACAACATCGAGCCTGGTCAGTACTTAGATGGGTAACCACCTGGGAATATCATGTGTTGTAAGCTTAGATATGTGGGTGGTGTAATGGATAATGGCTTGGAATTTTTAATCAGAGAGGTGAGTTCCAGTTGTCTTCATTATAATCATTTACGCTCAAATACCCTTGGAAAAAGTAGGAATCCATCTTTTCTCCCCTCTAGCTATGGATTAATTAGTAAAACTTGTATTACTAAAACCATTATTATTCCCACAAAAATAAAATTGCATACAAAATTTTTTAATTTGACTTATTCAGCTTTATATATATATATATATATATATATATATATATATATATATATTTTAGCTGCATTGATGAGGCAGGTATACATATATATATATATATATATATATATATAAATCAGGAACACCAAAATTCAAGCTACCAAGTTTTGACCGTTGGGTTTCCTCAGGTAGATAGGATAAAAGATTTTAGTTGACTCCACCACCATTACATACAAACATTGGGAGTTGTTTGGGGGTTAAACAGAAGAGGGAAAAGGCGATAAAAAAAAAACAACAAAATATTTTCACCCAGGTTTGTACATTCCCACCCGCTAACTTCTGGTGTTCGTATATAATGGTGGTGGAGTCAACTAAAATCTTTTATCCTACCTGCCTGAGGATACCTAATGGTCAAAACCTGGATAAGCGTGGTAGCTTGAATTTTGGTGTTCCTGATTGCATCTTGCTTGACAAACTCAAATTTTGGGGATTTTGTATTGAGCGCTCTTTTTGATTGCACCTTCTTAAACATGGCTGTTTACAGCTTCCTTTTACAATATATTATTTTATATTTTATATTGTACTTTAAATTGATATATATATATATATATATATATATCTGTTGAGATAAATTTATAACTGATTATACGCTGTATATTTAAGTCTTTTCCTTATTATTTATTTATATTGCTTTGTATATAAATTATTTATACATTGAGCTCTCATGATGGATTTAACTTTAGAATATTTTTATATTAAAAAGATCTCCTTGGAATAATACCTACCACATATGGATTTGGTATTCTTCAATGTTGTTATCGCATTTCAGCTGTTGTATTCTCCTAACTTTTCAGGTGTCTCTCCGTCTGAGTAATCATCATAGATTTCTGAACTGAACCTTTTATTTAATCTATAAGGTTCTCCTTCCACTGCCTGTGTCTAGGAATATCTCATCTTGTTCTCTTTTTAGTACTGCTCGATTATTACTCACCCTGTTCCCACTGGGTGTAAGTCTGTACTACCTCGCCTGGAGATTAAATTCACAATTATTACGTCACCAATGAACCAAAGAGAGATATCCCTAGACATGGACAACAGAACAATAACAGTCTACTCCTGTAGATTAACTAAAGAGTTCCTTTTTAGTGTTTTCATTACAAATATAATGTTAACTACAGCCACTTTTTTCTTGTGACTTTGGTTGTCTAATTTAAATATATGAATAGTGGAGATTATAGATAGTCTCCCCTTGACAATTACATCAAGTTATCCAAGATTCAGTTTATGTGACTATATACTTGAGTATCAATCAATACAGCATATGAATTTACAACAATCATCTTTGTTGTATATCTTGTAAAGACAATGCTGATTAGCTGAGCCAATGATGTATTGGCTCTGTGTTATTAACAGAGCCAATATATTTGTATATGCTAGAAATAAAAACAGTTACTAGCTGTTGCTCAAACTGGCTACCCATGTGCCCATTTTTCCCTAGCCATAATACCACAATCTTATTAAAAATAGATGGTGTATATATATTTCTATCCATTTGAATTAAATTTAGACTGAAAGAGCATAATTTCTTTATTTTATCTCTGTCTGTGTTGTGAAGAAAAGAGTAGGGACCACATTTGCCATATTGGTGAACCTGGCGCAGATGAAATTGTTTCTAAAAAAAAGCATTATTTGTAATAGTCCAGATGAGTCCTCAATTTCAAACATATTCCAAAAATTATTATTTATAAAAATAATACTAATGAGACATGAAACTTTTTTATTATGCAAGACAAAAAAAGAAAGAAATAATCATCAATTCTGTTCATTTTTCATTAAATGTGGCAGACAAGAAAGATTTAATTAATTTTTTGTTTAGTTTTCCAGCATCTTTACATAGGAGTAAGGGAATACAAAAATTCCCAATTACTTTCAGTCGCTTCTTTAACCATTTTATGGTCAAATCTTTCTTGTCTGCTATATTTAATGAAAGATGTTTAAAAGAAAGGTTGCTGCCAAAATATACTTTAATATATATATATATATATATATATATATATATGTATGTATGTATGTATGTATGTATGTATGTATGTATGTATGCATGCATGTATGTATGTATGTATCCAAAACACCAACCTTTAATAAATCCATTATTCATGTTTATTTACTACATTTTAACAGATATATTTACCAAAATTCCACAAAAATATGTTTAAATTTATTCAATAAAGTCACCATTGGCAGCTGGTATGGGTTTTATATAGCACGTATATAATGCATTAAAAATTCTCTTCCATGCGCCAGGTAAGTGTCTCTGACTGATGTCAAATTGGTTGAGCTTTGATCCTGGCTTGAAGCAATTGGATGTCTAGTCATACTAATGAGCTGTGATACAGTGATACAGGCTGTCTGTGGATGACCACACACACACACACACACACACATATATATATATATATATTGATGCTTCCTTAAATTTATGTGCATAGGTATGATATCTACTTCTCTTGATCTCATGAAGGATAAAAATGACAGGCTGTAATTGACCTGCAAAATATAAAACTTTCATGTCATATTTTTTTATGTATAAATATTTTTCACCTAATGAGGTCATGAAAAAGTTTCTGACATACTGTTATCTTTTTATGTATGATGTTTTTCCAGGCTTTATTTCCTAAGTGTCTAATTATCATATATTTTTCTTGAATACTATTCATCTTACAACATTGACTTAATTTAAGTTCTTAGGTTAAGGATATTTCAACAGTCATATGAGTGTTAGTATTCAAACATTAACTATTCCGAGGCCAAAGTACTGATGATGATGTGGGGAGCTACCCAGGTATTCATAGCTGGGATAAGAATGATCTTGAACAAAAAATCATCCTCTATCAAGTGTTCCAAGAAATAGGACTCAAACCTTTTCAAAACAGAATAGCCTGGAATTGAAATGAAAGCAGCAATGGCTTTGAATCTGAATTCATCATAAAATTCAGAATGAAGAATTAGTAAATATTAAATACTTCAGATACTTCAGTGTATGGATCAATTGTAACAAATTTATTATAGGAGATAAGGAAATTAAACAGAGCAGTAGTTTCTCTCAATACCCCAAATTGCTACAAAACCAAAACATTAACCTGGAATTGAGAGATTTGTAGTGAATACAAAATAAAAATAACTCTCTTTTCTCCACTGTTTTCAAATTTGCGAGCCTATGTGAAAATTTATTTTGACTAATAGAAAAAGGGTGCAGCTTACAAACTGAGAAAAAAAGTAATGAGCCAATGTGAAATCACTTTTTGATATAAATAGGCAGAGAAAGTTGAAGAGAGAGAGAGAGAGAGAGAGAGAGAGAGAGAGAGAGAGAGAGAGAGAGAGAAGAAAAGTCAGGAGGCAGAAAAGCTAGATTTCTACGTGCCTGAATAGTGCCAGTGTCAAATTACATGCTGATACATTATCAGCCACTAATGAGAGTAGGGCAATTTCAAAGAACTTTATTCAGCTCCAAAGCTAAGTGCCTTAAAATATATCTTTTCATTCATGTTGTATACAACCAAATATCTTTTACATGAAAAATGAACACTCTCATTTTGTTTTAAACATTGTGTAATATTACTTTGTGTCCAATGATTTAATATGAACATTTCCTATTCTTGACAATTCATTGAAACTACAAACTTTAAATATTTGATTCCTTTTCCTGAAACAAGCAACTAACAACTTCAAATGTGTAAATTTGTAAATAAATTCCTCATCTTGTTTCATTAAATATAACACTTGTGTTTTCTTGTTATTATCCCTCAATACTTCAAACTCATATGGATGTTGTACATGGTGCGAAACACATTCAAAAATATCTAAACTTTCATTTTTTAAAATCAATGGTTAAAAATGGCTTTGAGTGCTGAAGAAAGTATTATGTCAATAAACTGTGAGTAGGAGATGCAATATGATATTGTCACCCATCCAAAACATCTATGAGTCAGAGAGGATATCATATAATAATAATAATAATGGCTTTAACCCATGACAATTTCACGGTTTTCATATTTGAATATTCTGATGAATCTTAATTCTTCAGTTAATACTTGAATAAGCTCATGGCAAGTTCTATGATAATGAAATATTTATAGAAATTCCCCTATTACATTGTTAAATATTTGAACTTAACAACTTTAACAAAATATTGCAATAACAATCATAAATATGAATACTAGTTGTTATTTTAAGAAGTGGGTACAAATGAAAAAATTTGAAATTAACAACTTTTTCCATTGATGAAACAATTCTATCATCCCTTCTTTCTTTCTTTCATTCCTCACTGAAACCAAGTAGTGTCTTTTCCTTCTTTCCATGTGATCAAATGAAATATGAAGTATTGGCAGAAGACGTTAAACATGTCTATCCTCCCTTTTTTATTTTCTCACTGAAACCAAGTAGTGTCATTTCCACTTGTTCCATGCAATCAAAACAGAATAGTTCATTATTTATAAGGTATTGACAAGGTGTAATGGTCATGTAAACTAACAAAGGGTGGACAAGAACTATTACAATGGGATAATAATAATTGACTTCTTCATTTGCAAAATTCTGAAAGCGCTGACTCTTATTTGACTACTGTTGTTAAGCAGTGTTGAGCCCAGTCAGTACTTAGATGAGGGGCCACTTGGGAACACTGAATATTGTAAGTAACTTCCTACAATCTTAAATATGTTTTGGCTTTAAATAACTTGCACAAGGTTGATAAGCCATAAAAAATTAAAATAAATCAATCACTTCATTTGCAAAGCAACAGC